AAAGAAATAAAAAACTTGCTTACTGTGCTGTGTGGAGTTATAAAGCACTTGGAGATTGGCAGATCACTCGTGAAGTGTCGAGAACTACTCCGCTACGCGTCGTGCTTCTCCTAAAACCTTCTCTCGTGTTCTGCCAGCCGGCCCCTTGCGTGCTTTATAGCTGCACACAGCACGCACCCGCGTTTTCTATTTCTTCATTTTTCTCATCATCTTCGTGGCTAGTGCCTTCTAAAGAAGCCATAGAAAGTATGCCATTGTGTTGTAAGAATGTCTGTGACACTACACAGGAAGTCAAAAAGTACCTGGCGTACTGAAACTTCGGAACCAATCATCGCTCAAATACACAAATCTTGTATTAACGCATGTGATCAGGAATTAGCCCAGGAAATATACAACTCTTCGTTGATGATCGAAGATGCTCCATTAGATACATATTATTACTGAAGTCAATACTAATAATCCGCCTCCAAACCATGTATAGAGCTCATATTCAGATAGAATGTTAAAACGGTTGAATTTTCAATACTTTGCTTACTCAAAATCAAAGATACTTTTGGATTTGAATGAAAGACATTCAACTTAAATTCGACTAAACCTGGTATTTTATTTTGTTCAGTATCTGTGAGTTATCTTTCGTTTTCCAAAATTAACCAGCAATTCAAATCATAAAAATGAATGTCAGCCATGTTAAACTTTGCCGAAATTTTTCCAAGAACGAAACTAAGGGGGATACGTAGTGGATGGCGGGTTGTATGCATGTGACAATATTCCTAAGTGGGAAAAAAGACCAACGCGAAGAAAATAATGTAGAGCATGTAGTTCAAATATTGATCGATTTAATTATCTTAAAACTTCATATTCATGGATTCTGTCACAGTGCTGAGTTTGAAGAAATATATCGAGCGCAAGTAGTTGTGTGGCAACATGAATAAACCGAGAAATAAAAAAAACTTTTTCCTTTTTAAAAATATAATGCGCTCGATTCGTCAAATTCGGCAGAAAGAATTCATGACCATTCTTTTTATTCGTTAAAGGCTAAATAATTGAGCTAATACAGGTGCTAAACTACGAATATCCGAGTGTTAGTAGCACAATACGAGCAATAAAAAAACCGTTAAATCACACTCGCAATTATGTTAAGTCACCTTCAGCGCGGACATGAAACGAAAACCAATTATAAAACTTACAATTCTAGAACTCAATTGAATCGATGAGTACATGATTTATGGACAAATTTAAGTTTGAAATTATCCAACACATTAATGCACGTGTACCGACTTCCTCTAAAAATACTAAGCATTCTATGATAGAGAAAGGAAATATCGACCAGATACTAAAGTGTTAGCCAAACTTTTTAAAGAATTATCATTGGTACCCCTTTCAAAGACCAGACGGACGTAATATTTGAATATTTTAAAATCACTTGTCGCTCGACCAATTGCAGCGCGCGAAACTCTATATTAAGTCAAACATTTATATGATACTATACAGTTAATCCGTCGTAGAGCACGCAGATTGTTGAACTAAAGTCACAAACTCCTGAAGACCAAGATAAACAACTAATTGGGCCAAAATGAAGGGGATTTATTTAGTAGCGTTTCTATTGGTTGTGGAGATGAATTTTAGGGCAGGAGATGGAAGCATAGTATGTTGCCCAAAAACTAATTGCCATTATCACTGTGACTGTTGCTACGGGAGTCATGGTTCGGCTTTCATTAGACGAGACGTAAGTTATCTGTATTTATGGTTATTTAGGCCATTTTGTAGTTCATGAATAGACTCACTCACTATATGTTTATTTTTTTATATTTGACCGCAGCGGTTCAAACCAAACATGAAAAGCTTCTTACTTTGAATCCGAAATGAATTTTTTAAAATAAGCTTCAGCAAGCATCCATAAAATATGGCTTTTAAATTGCAGTATATATACATAGTTTTAAAAAAAACGGTTAATATCAGCACATGCTACAAAAACGGTACTCATTGCTCTAAAAGTTTCAAAAGTTTAATCATGATCGAGTTAAGGGAACGCTATTTAGAGGCCTGCTAATGTCCCGTTCTCACGGCTATGGCCTTCGGATTCACCATTATGTGAGTAGAGTTGCCGTTGGTTCTCTTCTGTTCGTTATGGGTTTTTCTCAGAGTTCTCTTGTTTTCTTCAGTCCCTGTTGGATTCTAAAAGACTCACGTTAAAAACTACGGCGATATGTCATAAGTAGTGTTTAAAAAACGAGTAGGAGTGTTTTAT